TTCCGGAAAAAAAAATATTAAAAAATTAAAAATTTTCATAACCTTATAAAATGGCTTAAAATAAATGTGGCCACCCATTGTGAGGGAAATTTTTAATTTTTTTGGGTGAAAAAAAAAATTAAAAAAATTAAAAAAAATATAAAATTTCAAAACTGCACAGAATTGCCTAGAAAACATGTGGCCATCAACTTGCAGTGAAATTTAAATTTTTTTAGGTGGCCAAAAAAAATTAGAATTTAAAAATTTTCAAAACTTCACGGAATGGCTTATAAGGCCACCCACTTTTAGTTATATTTAATTTTTTTAACGTGCCCTAAAAATTATTAAAATAAACAAGGACAAAAATTTTGGAAACTTTACCTAATAGCTTAGACTACCTGTGGCCACCCAATTTTAGTATGGAAAAATTTTTTTATTTCACGGAAAAAATTTTATATTAAAAAATAATAATTTAAAAATTCTAAAAAATTTAAATTTTCAAAACTTTATAGAATGTCTTAGAATATCGGTGGCCACCAACTTTTAGTGAAATTTTATTTTTTTTTAGGTCCCAAAAAAAATTTAACAATAATAACAATTTTTCTCTTACAAAACTTTAAAAAATGACTTAGAATACCTGTGGCCACCCACTTTCAGTGAAATTTAAATTTTTGTACGTGGTCAAAAAAAATTTAATCAAAATGAATGCGATTCATATAGTGATATTTGATACCTGTGGCCACCCATATCGTGCTCATATATTGATGTTTCATATCAAAATGAATGGGATTCATAGTATATTTGTTGTAGGAAATTGCACGTCATAAACACTCGACATTGGCTCATTTCAAGGAAACATTTTCTCAGTCTTTCCATCAAAATGGTAAGCTTCGTCATGTACATCATTATGTGTCCGTAATACGTGTCAATAGTTCTTTACATATTCGCATAACCTTCCTACTTGTCAGTATAAACGTGGAGGTCACATGCATAGAAGACAAGCCTCTTCCTCGTCCACGTCCCCGTCCCTTTCCTCTTCCCCTGTCCCGTCATCTAACCCTCAACCACAATATGGTCCGTCACAATATGGACACGTTGGCCCTTCCTCCAACACTCAACAACATGTTACGGGACTTGGCCACATGCGAACTGAATCTCCTCCAGTTCAATCTCCTTGAGCTCCCTCTCCTTCCGTTCCACCGCATTATTCGACGGAACAATCCAATATTGACGAAAACACAAGTCAAGAAGATAACCGATTCTTCATATGCCCATTTGGAGATTCGTAAGTACTTCATTTTTATTTTAGTATATGTAATATTTAGGGCTTTAGATATTAATATCAACTGAATTGTCGATGTTGCACAATTTTCGTATGATTACAGATTCACGGATGCTCTATCTGTTGTGAGGGAATTGAACAAAATAGTAAGAAACTTTTGGATGGGAGAGTATATTACTTACAGAAGTGTTCCACAAGAAATGAAAGAAATGTGGTGGAATGAGTTCAAGGTAAGTTTTACATATTTTATTTTCTCACCAATTAAGTTTGGTGTAGTATATTGATGGTCAAGAATGATGTAAAGGGACCAGAACAACTCTGTAGTTTTCGATACCTAAAGGACCAGATATTTTCCCCGACATGAACTTTACAAAATCTGTCTATATTTGTCTGGTGCATGGTTATGGATATGTGATCATCATAATAACTTTCAATTTGTGTTTTTATTCATTTCAGCGGAAGTTCAAGTGGGAGGAAGCGAAAGATAATGAAGTGAGAAGAATTTTCGATAAGAAAATCGGTGATTTTATGCGAAATGTCATGAATAGAGCGAAGATCAAGCAAGTAAAGCCGTCTTTCATTACAGCTGACAATTGGACGGCAATTAACAGATTTTGAGCATCTGAATAGAGTCGGCAACTCTGTGAGCAGAATAAGAAGAATCGATCTTCTAGTTCTAGTGATGGGTCAGCCACATATGCTGGGGGCTCTATCAACATTGCGGAGCATCGCAAACGACTGGTAAGTCTGTTAAATGAGTTATAAGTTAATTTAATTCAATTACTCATGTTTACATTTTGTAGGCACAAGAATTGGGGACGGAACCGACATTTGAAACTACATTTGAACGCACATTTCAAAAGAAAGATAAGACATGAACTGGCGATCGAGCAAAAGCTGTTAAGGTATGTAAGGTTATACTTTGACTTATATGTAAACTATAATGAAAATCGTGAATGCTTTCAATATTTATAGTAGATACATATATAGTGATTTTATTTTCATCTACATTGTTAATGTAAGAAAAATATGATGAACTTTTAATGAGTAGTGGTAGTGGTAGTGATGATTATCCTGAGTCCGGGCCATCAGTTGATAATATGGCATTATGGATGGAGGCAACGGATGAGGTGAAAAAAGGGAAACTATTTGGGATGGGATCGTTGTCAATGATGTACATGCCGAATAATCGTGGAAGTTCATCATCCACTGCGACTGGTCGAAGGAGGACACGACAAGACGAGCAATTGACCCAAGAAGTGCATCGTCTGAAAAATGTACTTGTTCAGAAGGACGAACAAATAAATAACTTGGAATAACAAATGGCACTCGTTATGCGACACCTTAACCTCAATCGCTATGACGATCCTCCTGTACCTCCAGCCAATCCAATAAGTGATGGGCACAATGATGACCAACACATTGATGCCGAGAATGCTGATGATGATGATGATGATGATGATTTTCTCCAGACTTTCTAGTTAAAATTCTCAAAATCGGGAATAAGCTTGCTTCATAATCTTGGTTTTTCATAATTTCACTCATATTCATATGTAAGAACATTTATGTTCATCCTCCAACATTTTTTTGTTAACCCTCTTGTTATTTTATACCTAGTTCCACATCCATGCATAAACGCTTCTTTTATATTCTGGACTGATTTATGTATCGATATTTCCTCAGGTCTCGACAAAAGTGACTACTTTTGGTGTCCTGCCATCGTACCAAAGCTGCGTCTTCTATGGTTGTCCCGCCTCTTAGTTCATGTTTTGAATGTATTGTAAGATTGGATATCAAATAGCATCATGTCAGACTCTGCAACTTTCCTTCAATTATTTGTTTCAATTATATGTCATTGTGGCTGGTTTGTCAGAATCTATGGTTTGTTCGTTTTTCTGTTTCAATTATATGTCATTGTCTCCTTTGTTTGATATGGACAAGAATTTATGGCCGAAATGATGTAAAAATAGCGACGAATATTTTAAGCCGAATTTTGCGATCATTACAGTTCGTCGCTAATTTGCGACGAATACATTTTGCAACGAATTTTGCGACCAAATTTCCGACTAATTTTGCGACGAATTTTCCGATGAAATTTGCGATGAATTTTCCGACTAATTTTGCGACGAATTTTGCGACGAAATTTGAGACGAATTTTGCGACGAATTTTGCGACGGATAGAGTTCGTCGCAAATTTGCGACGAAATATTTGCGATGAATTTTGTGACGAATTGTATTCGTGGCTAATTTTGCGACGAATTTTGCGACGAATTTATTTTCGTCGCAATTTTGCGACGAACTTTTAAATTTTCCGTCGCAAAATTTTGCGACGACCTAGTAACGACGGAATTTTTTCCGTCGCAAATTCGATTTGCGACGGATTTTTCCAAATTTTCCGTCGCAAATTTCGTCGCTAATCCGGTGTTTTTTTGTAGTGCTCATTAAGGAGTTGACCGTATTTGATTTTGTGGATAGGCCCATACAGTTATATTCTGACAATAACTCTACAGTGTTGTTTATTAACAATAACAGAGGTCTCAAGGGGTCTAAGCATATGGAGGTCAAGTACCTGACTATAAAGGAAAAAGTTCAAGATGGTGACATTGCAGTAGAGCATATTTCAACAGATGATATGATTGCAGATCCACTAACTAAAGGCCTTCGCCCTTGTGTATTTGATTGACATGTCATTAACATGGGCTTAGGTGTATCATGGGATACTGTTAATTAGTGGAAACTGTTTAGTTTTGTGTTGCTCTTATGAAGTTGGTATATGATTTTGTTACATTTTATAATATTTGAATATGTATCAACTCTTTTGCATTCAATGAGGTATTTGTGAATGTAGATTTATCAAGTTAAGTACACATATTTGATGAAAATCTCGAGGCATTGTATAAACCTTGAGTACAGGCTATGGGGCATTCTTGGTATTAGCCTTAACGATATGTCTTGTTACACATAAAGTATAGTTAACTATCAAGGTAAGATATATGCAGGTTCGTCGGAAACATGAAGGATATTCTCTGGTGACAGACTAGGTTTTGTGACACTTAAGGAGAGAGAATTTGGACTAACAAAATGGACAACACATGAAATATCATTCATTATGAGGTATTGTCCATTTGACACACTACCATATTGAATCCATATCAGTAAAGTTGAAAGCACTCGTGACCATGGAAGGCTCTGCGTGAGTACATGCAGTTACCGCCATGATTCGGTGTTCGAGACTTTATGGGATCGGATTGACTATTAAGAATAATCTCTAGATCAATATAAGGGTGCGCACACAGTTCTGTTTCAATTAATATCGCTCAACCGGGAGAATGTAAGAATTTCCTAATGTAGGCTTCATTAATTGAAATTAACTGAATTAGTTTGGTCTAATAAAGGTAAGATATATGGGTTCTTAATCAGTCTAATATGGGGCTGGCTAGTGTGGGCCGAGTACGGCCCGGGCCGTAATGAGAGGGCCCGTGGTCGAAGACTCTATAAATAGCGCTCAAGTCCATCCCCTAACCTGATGATGCACAATCTAACTCACATACGGATTAAGAGAGAACTTTCTTCTCGTGAGTGGCAATCTCATTAGGCCAGTGTTCTAATGAAGGGTATAGGGGAGAAGAACTTGAGTTTGTGTTCGGAAACCGTCGCAAATTTCGCGTCAAGTTCGATAGATTCCAAACCAGGTACGCGAATCGACAATTTCTCCATTATCGTGTTTCGGTTTCTAATTATGGTGATCCTGGACGTGCCATTTTCGAGGCCAACAGGCGCTCCCACCGTGGCCGGAGAGTGCGCAACCAAGTGTGGGGATGTGGACGTACCTTATCCGTTCTGGCTCAAACTCGAGTGTGCAAGGTCCAAAGATTTTTTCCTCAATTGCACCACTGAAGGGAACCACACACAACTACTTCTCGCCGACGGGGGGAATTGTCCAATACGCAATATCTCGATCGAGGACGCGACCATGGTCATCAGCGTCCCCGACGCATACCAGTGCTACAAGCGGGATAACCAGACAAGATACAAAAGGAATGTGTTCTTAAATCTATCTTCGTTTCCACCATACAGATTTTCCGACACCAGGAACAAGCTCACCGTCCTCGGCTGCGACACCTACGCTCTCATTTCCGACCAAGATGGGACGTTCGGGAGCGGGTGCATCTCCTACTGCAGCCAAAACGTCCACTTCGCCAACGAGACCGCTTGCTCTGGTCTCGGTTGCTGTCAAACATCCATCCCGAAGGGGCTCAAGACGCTCAACATTAGGTTGAAGTCGTTCGAACAATATGAGTCGGTCAGGCAATTCAACCCTTGCGGACTGGGCTTCGCGGTGGACAGTAATTCATTCAATATCTCCGAAAGGAAACTCCCGAGCTACGAGGATATTAACAACACAACAGAGCTTGCTCTGGACTGGATGATCGAATGGGACGTGTCTTGCGAAAAGGCCAGGTCGAACCAGTTGGTCCATGCCTGTGGCGACAACACGGACTGCAAAGACTTCGCGAATGGATTGGGTTATCGTTGCGTATGCAAGCCTGGGTACAACGGGAATCCATACAATCGCACCCACGGGTGTCAAGGTAATTAACATATATGTCTCCTAATGCATTATCGCCCTTGAATGAATTTTGTCGATAACTAACTAATTAATCACCATTCGAGAGCCGGATATAGGAGTGCTGTATCTATCTATTGATTCCATCTAGTTTACCCTTTTAATTAGGGGCCATTTGATTTCGGCCTGCAAAAGCACGATGACTTCTAACAAAACGATGAAACGACTCGAGCTTAAGACAAAACCGTGAAATCCAATATAAAACGGGTCAAAGTGGATAATATCTCGAGTGAGTTAATATATGGGTGTCACATGTACAAACTAACAAGTGCCACCACCACCACAAGCAACGACTCTCTCTCTCTCTCTCCGTCTTCATGAGTCTGGCTTGTACCTCATCTCAGCAGTGACCGTATTAACTATGGCATTCTCCTTCTTCCTAGGCTTAGTCGTCCCCAATGACCATATCTGATACCACAACACCACCTCCACCGCCCCCCTCCCCGCGCGCAACGTGGGGTTCATGTACATCGTAAAATCTCCATTTCCTCGAGTTCTGTATGCGAGATCCTTTTCAAGCTCATGCACCCTCAACAGGTCTCGTATTGAGTTCGAGGCAGTGTCGATCTCCATCGATGGCAAAACACCATGCATTGTTGAGTTCGGAGTCGACATGAAGAGAAAGAAAAAGTATCTTAAAAGAGGATGGACACATGTCACGATGCCATAGCCGAAACCAAAATGGGATAGCATTATCTGTCACATAATCTGTGCATCTACTTGTTCAATTTGTTTTTGCTATTAACCGAAATAATGGTTCAATTTGTCTTGTGCATAATTTAGACATCAATGAGTGCGCGCAACCACAAGTGTACCCATGTCATGGAAAGTGCAGGAACAAGCCCGGGAACTACACATGCGATTGCTCCGTCGGAATGCGGGGCGTTGGTAATGTCAGTTGCCAAATTTCTAGTTGGGCCGTACTCGTTGCAGGTAATTTCCTTCTGTACATCCCCTCCTCATCGACCAGATGGTTCATATCCTATCAATTCATTCTTGATTTTGCCGTCGGTTTGACGTACATGCTTTTTGGATTATTCCACCGTATAACAATAAAACCCTTAGAACAATCACTTCTCCTTGTAAGTCTTGTTTTTATAGAAGACGAAAGCTTGCAAAATCCTTTGGGTGAGCAATGTGGTACAATTGTTTTCCATGTATTTCATCTTCACATTTTCCCACGTTGACTTATTTGTGAAGGTTGGAGCTTGTTTGGCTCTATAAAACCAATCAATGAGCCCATTCTTTCTGTATAAAATCCACCCATCTGGCCATTCTTTCTTATGAAAATAGTAAAAAAATAAGAAAAGTGACGAGGCCATCCAGAAGGGGGGATTAGCTCTTTTTGAGGAAAACAATTAATTCTATAGTGGAGCCCCGCACGGGGCGGTGGCCAGCAAATTTTTTTAGGTGCAAAAAAAATCAACAAATCAAAATAGATTTCTGTTCCAGAAATCAATTTCTGGAGCAGAATTAGTCATGTTTTACCAAACAGATTTCTCCTCCAGAAATCAATTTCTGGCAAGAATTCCAAAAATCAATTTCTGGCAAGAATTTGATTTCTGGAGCAGAATGATTACCATTCGCACCCTTAGTCTTTGACGTGTGGAGGAGGAGAAGCAAACAGAAAAACTTCAGACGAAATGGAGGAGAGCTCTTGAAACACCACAGAGTTCAAATCTTTAGGGAGGCAGAGCTGGCAAAAGCAACCAACAACTATGATGATAGTAATAAGCTTGGAGAGGGCAGTTTTGGTTCCGTCTATAGAGGCAGAATAGCGGGGGACACCGTGGTCGCGGTCAAGAAGCCTAAAGATGTGCATGAGTCTCTAATAAGGAGGGATTTTCAACATGAACTTGAAACTGTGATGCAAATGAACCACAAAAAAGTGGTGAAGCTCCATGGCATATGTTTGGAGACTAGAATACCCTTACTGGTTTATGAATACATTTCGAATGGTACCCTCTTCCAACACATCCATCAGAATGCGTCGACCATCTTAAGATCGTGGAAAAACCGGCTCAGAATAGCCACCGAAGTTGCTCTTGCACTCGAGTATATGCATTCCTACGCAGAACCCCTAATCATTCATGGTGACATCAAGTCGGTGAACATACTTCTGGATCACAATTACTCAGCAGAAGTGTCTAATTTTGGAACTTCGGTACTAATATCACCAAAGCATGGTAATATTGCAGCCACTGAAATACAAGGCACATTGGGTTACATCGATCCGGAATATTTAACCACTGGTATGATAACAATTAAAAGTGATGTATATAGCTTTGGAGTTGTCCTCGTGGAGTTGCTCATGGAAAACAAGCCGACAAGTTTCATTACTAAGTCCGGAGAGTCGATCAATACTATCCATTATTTCATCTCTTCCATGAAGGATAAGACACTCTCCGATGTCATAAACTTCGAGGACGCTAATGAAGAGGAAATGGAGAGAGTAGGAATAGTTGTTGAGATTGCAAAGAAGTGCTTGGACCAAAGCGGTGCGAAGAGGCCATCAATGAGGGAAGTTGTTGAGCAACTCGTGAGAATTAACCACGAGCTCAATAGTTCGACAGTTGAAGAAAATTATGAAGAGACCGAATGCAAACTGGATGAAGAAAACCTCTACTCCCATATGACTTCAATTACTTGCGACACGAGCCAACTGTTAGTAATTAAACCAAATTCGTGAATGTCCCACATACATGCATCGTGATTGTTCATGTTTCTATGTCTAGTTTAATATTTTGTAAATTCTCATAATTTTATCTCCTTGGAATGCTATATATATTTATGAGTCGATTAAAAGTATGAGTCATGTAACAAGCCTATTTAAATGCAAGTCTTGTAATCATTTTGATAAGGTGAAATAAAAAGAAAAGGTAAAAGCCTATTTGTCTCCTTCTCTTCCTTGAGTTGTGAGAGTTGTGAGCGTTTTCACCTTCAAATTATCCTATCAAATTGGTATCAAAGCATGTCATTTGTGATCATGGCCTCAACAAACACTCAATTTCCTCTTCAATACCCTTGTCTTATCAAAGAAAATTATTGTAATTGGGCTGTTATAATGAAAGCCCTACTAGGTGCCTATGGTGTATGGGAAATTGTCATCACAGGAGTCAAAATCAGAAGACTGCCTTCGAGAAGGTTCGAGAAAAAGATCAATATGTCCTACCAATCATCTATCAAGATTTAGATGGTTCTATGTTCGAGGAGGTTTCGAACGCTACTACTTCTAAGGAGGTATGGGAGATCCTTCACAACACACACCAAGGAGTACAAAAAGTTTAGAAGATTCGCCTTCAAACTTTGAGAAGTGAATTCGAGGCAATTCATATGAGAGAATCTAAATCGATTGCTGACTATTTCATAAGAGTTTTGGCAATTGTCAACCAGATAAAAAGAAATGGTGAAGATGCTCGAGCTGTTGAGAAGATTCTTCGGTCCTTAGACAAGAAGTACTATCACATTAGCGTTGCAATTGAAGAGTCCAAAAATCTGGATGCCATGATAATGAATGAGCTTCTGGATTCAATGTAAGCCCATGAAGAAAGATTCAGAAGAAACAAGCATTAGTTGCTGGAGGAAGTACTCCAAACTAGTTTGACCATCCAAGTTGAGAAGGACCAAAGTAGAGATCCCATGCAAACTCGAGGGACTAATCAAGATCGTGGTCGAGGTTGAGGTCGAGGTCTCTTTCAAGGTAGAGGTCACGGACGAAACAAAGGAGATATTGCTCAAAATGACAATAGATACCAGAATTAATGAGGTGTTGTGGAGGAAAGAACTTGAGAGGCCAATGGCATAACAAATCTAAAATTCGTTGTTATCAGTGCAATAAACTTGGCCATTATGCTTCTGACTGTTGGTACAAAGAAAGTAGCGGAGCAACCGAAAAGGCAAATTTGGTGAATGATGTAAAGCAGGTTCTTTTATTGGCATTCAAAGAAGATGAAGGTGGACAAAATGATACTTGGTACTTGGACACTGGTGCAAGAAACCACATGTGCAGGCAAAAAGAAATGTTTGTCGAGTTAGATGAAATAATTAAGGGGAAAGTTTCATCGGTGATCATTCCAAAATTCTTGTCGAAGGCAAAGGTACAATTCTAGTTCGTTTGAAGAACAACACACATCAGTCTATTACAAATGTTTATTATGTACCAACTATGTAGAGCAATATCTTGAGTTTGGGAAAGCTTTTGGAGAAAGGCTACACTGTCCAGATAAAAGATCTTAACCTTGTGCTAAGAGATCAAAATAATAAATTGATTGCAAATGTGAAGATATTGAATAGCATGATGTTTATTCTCAATATAAAAAATGAAATGACTCGATACTTAAAGGCATGCGTAGATGATCCTTCATGGTTGTGGCATTTAAGGTTCGGCCATCCCAATTTTAGTGTACTCAATTTGATTTCCCATATGAAGATGGTTTATGGCTTGCCACATCTCGATCATCCTGATCAATTATGTGAAGGGTGTATCCTCAACAAGCATTTCTAAACTAGCTTTCCAAAAGAAGCAACTTATCGAGCAAAGAAGCCACTTGAGTTGATTCATTCTGATGTGAATGGCCTAATCACTCCTCAGTCAGATGGTAATCATCAATATTTTGTAACTTTTATTAATAATTTTACTCGAAAAGCTTGGGTGTATTTTTTAAAAGAAAAGTCAGAATTGTTTGATACTTCCAAATAATTCAAGAACTTAATTGAAAAGGAGAGTAGCTATTTTATCAAAGCTATAAGGACTGATCGTGGAGGAGAATTCACTTCAACCACATTCAATAAATTCTATGAGGATCATGGTATTTAGCATTTCTTGACGGCTCCATATTCTCTTCAACAAAATGGCGTGGTTGAACGAAAAATCAAAACCATTCTTGACATGATTTGAACCGTGTTGAAAAGCAAAAGTTTGCCCAAGGAACTGTGGGATTATTGACATCTGAATTTTCCCGACTGCTATCTTAGGAAATTTTGTTAATTATGAAAAATCGCAAAGACTCGAGTCATGACCGGGATTGACCCGGCCAAATAGAGCTCGGCCCAATTCGACCCTAAACCACGCATTTCTCTTTAGAGCTAAATTTCTCATGCCACATGACACCTCCTCAATGGTCCAAACCCTTGTCATTGCAAGCTTGCCACGTGTCACTACATCACAAAAATCCTTAAAAACCTAGGTTTTCCCTTTTGGGGAGTGGGATTGGCGGCGGCAAAAGACAAAAAAGGACCATCTTCTTTTTTGAGAAGAGAAAAGTAAAGATTCGGACAAAAACAGGTAGCAAAAAAAAAAAGGCAGAACAGGGAGACGTCGTTTCTTCTCTCTCGACCAAAGAAAAAATAGAGATCTTTTTTTTGTTTAACTTCTTCAACGCCTCCTTCCCTTCCTCCAGCTCCTTGCCCTCCGCGTCCAGTCCAGCCACTCCTCCTCCTCCTCCTCCGTCGATAACACTAGAGATGATCGGTTCCGGGACGGTCTGGTTTCCACCCTGAAACTGGGAACCGAACCAAGAGGACTAGCTCTCGATTTCTGGAACCGAACCGCTTAGTCCTAGGCTTGGTCCGGTCCAGTCCGGTTCCCAAGCGGTCCAATGAAACCAATGAATTCACAATAATTATGGCAAATTTGAAGTTTAAAACACCACCGGACTACCACTGCCACGATAACGGCCACCACCAGCCACTATTGAACAACACTAGGACACGAGAATACAGAAACAAGGCAAGGCTGGGACATACAGCGTAAACTCGAATAAAATAAAAGTGAATACGAGATAGATGAACCGAAGATGAATGTGAGATGAACATCCAAGCGTTTTGATTCAAAAAATTTTCCTTAAACATGAACATAGCTTCGTTTAAGCATCATTACAAACACATAGCAGCCAATTCGGATATATAGCACAGAGACAAGTTTGCACAAGTTTGGTTCAAGTATTTCATCTAGCATGTGGTAAGCACAGAGTGAGGAGAAGACGTCGACCTTTTTTTAGAACTCGAACCCAGATTTAGACCCAAACGACCACCAAGAAATGCTCAATATCAAAGAAATCAACTCAGTTCGACACAAAACACTCGAAAACCACAGAAACCGAGTTCGGTCATCTTTTCAACAGAACAAGTTGGAGCAAAAGGGGTTTGCAGGGACGAGCATTTAATCACGGGGGACCCTACTCAGTTTGACGGCGGCGGGGTGAGTTCGAGATGTATCGAGCTACAGCCGACCACCTTGCCATGTTTCGAGCTGGGATCCTCGGGAAAGAGCGAGCGTGAGAGGCTGAGGGAAAGAACGAGCTGAAACTAGAGAGGGAATAGCCGAACACAAAAAGAAAAGAAGGCTTAGGGTTTCCGTAAAGAATTTTAAGAAGTAAAAAAAAATAGTTGGTCTGGTCCGTACGGCTTTTAGTCTGGCATTCTCCCTCTAACAATTCCCGGCGGTTTCCGGCGTTCCCTCACTGGTCCTTGATTCGGCTTTCCCGGTTCTTCAAGGGTGAGTGCTCTTCGTTGTTTGGTTCAATTTTTTTTTTTTCCTCCAAGGATCCCAGGTTGGAGACAATGAGAGGCGGCCGGCCATAGTTCGACTCATCTCAAACTCGCCCTATATTCGCCGTCTTCGAGCCGGGTAGGGGTCGTTGCGGTTAAGCACTCATCCCTGCGTTTGGGTAGTCAGCGTATTATAGCCTCTTTTACTGTGAGGGTAATGTAGAACCCCCTGCCCTACCCTGTTTTGATAGAAGTATGCGTGTCGGTTTCAACTGAGTTGGTTCTATTGATGTTGAGCATTTCCTGGTGATTCTTTTTTGGGTCTAGGTGTGAGTTTGAGTTCTAAAACGGTCAATACCTTCTCCTCAATCCATGCTCGCCACCTGTTTGATATAATGCCTTAGTTAGTGTTGTTCTAATCGTATAAAAAATGAGACCGAGATTATATTCATTTCTGTGAAGCATATGTTGGATCTGTTTGAGCTTTTTTAATCAACTTGAGATGTCCTCTTATTGATGTAGAATAAGATTAGCATCAAATATGAGTTCATCGACATGTCTTCTTATCTTTTAATCGAACGCCCGCTAGATGTTCGACGGAATATTTGAACTAAAACCCTACGAATTTGTCTCTGGTTACTAACCGGTCTGAACACGAATCATCACCCTTTCACGTTATAATGTTTGCTTTGTTGATTGCTAGACTCGATTGCTGATGCATTGGATATTTATCAAGCGCCTCTCTAATTCCACCTTTTTTTTCCATCCCGCGCCTGTATATTCCCGTAGTCACCAATGGCAGTTGTCGGCAAGTTGATGATGTTGTAGCCGTGGCCTAAGTGTCGACCATTATATGCATCTACACCAGTTTGTTTACAGCGTCCATTTTTCCTGCCTGTTTTAATCATGCCGTGTATGTGTGAATGTGATGATGTTAGAAGTGAATATTGATGGACGACAGTCCCGGGTGGCGGCGACCGATGAATCCAGCGGTGATCCGGTGGTGACCGTAGGTGGCTGACGGCGATGTTCCTGTAGCTGGTGGTGGTAGTGCTGGTGTAACAAAAATGGGCTCAATTAGACTTAATGAACCTCGAGCTTGAACAGGTTTGATCAGTTTAGGCTTTACTTGGTTTAACGAAGTTGGGTTAGCTTCGGCCTTAGAGAATTTGGGCTTGTTTGGACTAGGTGAAATTTTCGACCATTAAAAAAGAAAAGACTAGGTGAATTTGGGCTGGGATTAGTTTAGATGAGTTTTGGGTTTAATCCGATTTTGACAAATTGGGCTTCGTCTGTCCTGAGAACACTAGAGCCCATTTGTGTCCATGAGCCCAGATTCGTAAGGCCAGGGCAGCCCATGTTCGGGTAGGACCCAAAGGCCTAGCCCTAGTCCCCGCTTTTGAAATAAAAAATTATTAAAAATAATTAATATTAAAAGTAATTAAATTTTAAAATTAATTTAAAAAAATCGAAACAAAATTTAGAAAAATCAGAAAATTCTTTGAAATAGCCCCCTATTAGATTTTTAAATTTTAGTACTAAATTTAACTTAATTTCAATTGGAAAACATCCCATTAGTTTGGGGAATCTAGTTGACACTTTTGATTTAGTTTAGTCTTAAAATGTTGATCCTTTTAGAAAGCAAATTGAACTTGATTTTTTATTTTAGCTCATGGAGGTTGCCATCCCGAGGTTTATAATGAAACCATATATATTCTTTGCCCGACTTATATCGGATTTTCATTTCTGGCACCTTTGTTCATAAGCTCTCAATACTTAGGTGTTTCATTCCCGCACTTTCAATAAATTGGTTGTTCATTTCCTTTTTAGAATGGTTAGGACAAACCTCAAAAGAAGAATAAATCCAAAAAAATTGCATGAATGCTTAGCGACTTGAAAACACCTTTACGACTCATAATCGATAGAAGACCGTTTGATCACTTAGATAAATAACCAAACCTAGTTAGAGGTACTGAAGGGGCGCTAATTAGACAATTCGTGTAATCAAGTCCCCGAACTTAGTAAATCTCTAGTGACATAGAAAACGA